TAGTGGCGACTGGTCGTAGTGGCAGCGACGGTCCGTCCTCTGGTGCGGTGACGACGCTCGTGGTCGTGAGCTGCCTCGCGTCGATCCTCGTGCTCGTTGCCATCATCGTGCACCGTCGCAGCCGCCGCGCGAGCGCGCGGTCGCCCGGCATGAGCTCAGCGCACTCGCCCGACGATTTCTTCTACGATGTCGACGAAGCCTATGTGACGAACCAGACCATGTCCAAGTACAAGACGGCCGGTGCCAACGACGCGACGCTGACCAAGCTCCCGCCCGAGCACGTGGCCCTCGCGCGCTGCCTCGGTGGGGACATTTGGATGGGCGAAATGACCACGACGAACGCCCGACTCGCGCTTCGCCGGGCGCCGCGCCTTGCGGGCGACCACATCACCGACAGCTTCTTCCAGGGCGTCAAGGAGATGGCGCGGCTGTCGCACCCGAACCTCGTCGCGTACCTCGGCGTCACGTGTCTCTCGGGCACGGACATTTACGCGGTCGCCGAGTTCCAGGACAAGGGCAGCCTCGCAAATGTATACCAGACGGTCCCGCTGACGTGGGACATTCAACTGCGCATGGCGATCGACGTGGCTGAAGCGATTCACTATCTGCACACGCTCTTGCCGTCGCCGGTGCCGTGCGAGCACCTCAAGAGCTCGATGGTGCTCGTCGGCGCCAACTACAGCTGCAAACTCAACATCTTTCACTTCATGGCGTCCTTCAAGGCCAGCGTCCTGTGCAAGGAAATGTACGGCGCCAACCGCATTGCGTGGAAGGCGCCCGAAGTGCTCATCAACGAATGGAAGAACTTTTTGGCCGCCGACGTCTACTCGCTCGGCGTCGTCCTCGCCGAGATTGGCACGACGACGCGGCCGTTCGACAAGGAGATCTCCGAGGTCGGCATGGTGCAGACTGACGTGTGGATCCTCGACAACGTCATGGCCGGGCGCGGCGTGCCGCCTCCGTTTGACGTCAAGAGCGTCAAGTGGATCAACCTCCCAGAGTCGTTCCAGAAGCTCGTGATTGCGTGCTTGGATCCGGTGCCGAGCCGGCGCCCGAACTCGGGCATTGTCCTCCAGCGCCTCAAGGACCTCAAGACCTCGATCCACACAGCCGAGTTGTAAGTCGTGTGGTAGCTTTGATATTTGAAGAAATCCCGTGTATGGATGCTTGGTCCAGAAATCGTTGATGCGAGAGCTACATGGCGTGGAACCTGCCACGTGCGAGTGCAGCGCCACCGGCGACGCCCGCTGGCGTAGCGTACCAGTATGCAACGCCTTGGCCCATGCGATGGCCACGCAACCCTGTTGCATGGATTAAAGGCGTGGATGGTTGGGAGGCTTGGACTGAAGTATGAACGGCGTCGCCTGTCCAGCCTGTCGACAACTCGCACAGCAGCGATCCTGGCAGCGATCCGTCGTTGGCCGCAAACCATCTGGCCGCGCCGATGCGCTCGGTTGCTGGATTCGCTGCTGGATAATGCGCGAGGTCGTGCAGAGACGCATGGCCCATCCTCGGCCGCTGTCATCTTCCATGCCCATGTAGCATATGTGTCATGGCCTATCCTCTGCTTCCTGCCAGGCGCCAATGATGCTCCTGGCCATGGCGGCGGTGTCATGACGTCGGCGTCATGGCCACGGACGTCGGTGGTGCTTGCCGCGACGACGCGCAGATTTTTTTGAAAATGTTGGAATCCAATACAAATAGCAAGCTATTTTAACGCGTACGCGACATATTCAGCAGAAATATTGCAGGAATTTCGCGTCGCCTCTGATTGGCTGCGTCGGCGTCGGTGCAAGGATTGTTGTCGGCTCATTTTCGATACGCAGCTCATGACGGCCGCGAGGACGACCGCGCGGGCGGCCACCGAGTGCTACAACCGCACGGAGCCGGCGGCAAAGCGTCCGACAAGCGTATGGTGCTACGACGATGGCGCCATGACCGTCGACATCCAAGCGGCCGGCGGAATCGCGATCGACGCATCGTCCTGGGCCGCCATGAACCTCTCCCAGCTCACCATGTACATACTTGTCGCTGGCTTGGATATCGACTTACGCGATTGCATTAGCAATGGACATGGACTCTCATGGTCGTTTGAGCCACCGGCCAACCTCACGAACGTGGTGGCCTTGTACGTCGACTCCCCATGTTGCAATGAAGTGACTTGGCGGCCCTTGTAGGACGCTGAATGGTCTCTCGAATGTCTCGAGCTTCGAATCGCTGCAAGCCCCGATGGCGAGCCTCTTGTACGCTGCTTCATGGCTCCAGAAAGGTCGTCTCATGTGCAAGCATGCTATAGCGTCCTCCAGAACTCGACCGTGACGTCCCTCTCGCTGCAGAACTTCACCAAGTTGGCTTATGTGTACGCCCACTGCGAATGCTCGCAGCGCATACGCATCCGACTTTTGCGAATAGGAACTTTGTCGACGTGCCTAACCTTGAAGTCGCGACGCCCTTCAACGTCTCGGCCCCACCGCGCGCGTAGGTGCTTTTCTGCTGCTTGGCGCGCCACGTATGGATGCTCTAGGTTCATCTCGGACGCCCCGCGCCTCAACACGACGCTGTGGCTTCCATCCAACGACAGCAGCAATGACCACGAGCAACCTAAGAATCGAGGCAATGATAACGAGACCGTTTCTCCTGCGACCGCAGCGGCCGACGGCAGCACCATGAGCGCGCTTCTCGTCATTGCCATCATCCTCAGCGTCGTCGCCGCCTTTGCGTTTGTCGTCGTCGCCTTTGTGTACCTCCGCCGTCGCCGCGCTGCGTCGCTGCCTGTCTCCGAGCATGCAATGCCGGCGGCATGCGACCGCCTCTCGACCGCAAGTTCAACAGGGCGCAAGTCGAGCGCGTCGGCACTGTCGGACCCAAGCCTCTCGGACCCGATGCTGGCGTCGTTTCCGGATTACCTCCGGCTGCCCGCCCCGACGCGCATGGCGCTCGTCAAGCCGAGTCGCAAGCTGCTCCAAGGCGTGTTTGAGGACCGTGACGTGGTCATCAAGTACGTTTCCAAAGATTCGCCGGACGTCGAGACGTTCTTGTCCGACCTCTGGCACGTCTCGAACCTCCAGCATGTGAATCTGGTGCTCTTCCTCGGCGTTGCGTCCTTCCCGCGCCTCGACGATGCGTGCGTCGGCGCGGTCGTCGAGTGCATGGAGAAAGGGTCCTTGGCGACGGTGCTCACGAATCCCAAGATCGTCATCTCGGACGATATCGAGTGGAACATGTGCATGGATGTGGCCACCGCGGTGCAGTTTGTCCACGGCCGCGGCCGGTCGGTGCCGTGCTTGACAAGCCGCAAGTTCCTCGTCAACGCCGAGATGCAAGTCAAGCTCAACGTGCTGAGTCTGCTCACGTACTCGGATCTACGCCTCCCGGACGGCCATTCGTTTGGGAGCCAGCGACTGGCGCACAAGGCGCCCGAGGTCCTCCGCGGCGACTGCATGGACGAGTATGCGGCTGACGTCTACTCGCTCGGGCTGCTGCTGGCCGAAATTTGCACCCGGTCGCGGCCGTTTGCCTCCGAGGTACGACATTTATGGCGGTCGATGCTCGGCGTTGATCAACTTCTTGTAGCTGCGCGACCGGGGCAGTGTCGGCGTCGATGTCTTCTTGATGGACCGAGCCATGAATGGCACATGCGCACCAGACGTGCTGCCGTACGACGTGGCGACGCAACTCGGTGCATACCCGGCCGAGCTGCAAGCGCTCTTGCTGCGCTGCTGGGCGTGGGACGCGTGCGACCGGCCATCGATGGACGAGGTCGTCGCTGTGCTGCAGATCGTCTACGAGGACCGCTACGTCATCTAACCCCATACCAACACGGATGCTGCATGTTCCTCTTCTCGTCCATCGTGGAGCGTACGGTAGGACGCATCGAAGAAACAGCTGGGTTGCCCATCGCGACCAACAAATTTGGCGCACGGCTTCTCGTGATGGGGCTGGGAACGGAGGGAGACATACTGCGCGAGTGCCACGGTCGGTCCGGCGCTTCAACGTGCATTTGGCTGTGCATATCTTCGCTCGCTTCGGCGTTGACTG